GTGGCCCGTTTCCCTGCCACATCCCTGGCTGGAGGAGGTCAGCATCCCCACGGCTGTCTGGGGGATGAGCGAAGCGGCTGCTGGGCAGGGGCCAGGAAGGGGCTCTCACCTCCGGGTCGTTGCTCTCGAGCGGCTCCATGACCATCTTGTTATGGGAGGCCCAGAGCGCCGCGCTGGGGAGGCCCTCGTCGCCCTGTGTTGAGTTTGCCATCCTCCTGCTGGTCCAAGGTCACCTGCCAGCGCAGAGGTGGGGTTGTGGGGTGGGCTGGGATGGCAGCGGGGCTGGGTGCCTCCGCGCTGTGTCCCTGCACCCTGCCTGCTCCTATCCCACGTCTTCCCTGGAAACACAGAGGGACCAGCCACAGGCTGGGGCCCACCACGTGAGGAAAACACCAACAACTCTCAAGTTTCCTCCACTTGTTTAAGATCAGTTAATGAATTAGAGTGCTTTGATCATTTCTGATACTCTCCCATCATCGTCTCGTCTGGGATCCTCCACCCAGCTCCGCAGCGCCTGGCCGGGCACCAGGGAGGTGGTGAACCCACGCATGGACCAGACCGGATCAGCAACACGAGCAATGCCTTTCCCTCTCACTCCCATATATCCGTGAGATTTAAGGCTCCTAGGAAATGCTAGCAAATGCCCTCATGGACACAAGCGTATCTTCTTAAAACTGCTGTGAAGTGCTCATACCCACAGACCTCAATTTTGATGTGCTTTGCTTTCCCCAGCACACTTAACCCTCTTGGCTGCGTTCCCTCATGACGAGCCATGAGGGCAAACACCCAGCAGGTTGGAGCCTTGCCCTGGACCCTGACTGTGCCCAGCACAGCTCGTGGAGCTGGGTCCCAAGAGGCAGCAGCTCTCCCTCAGCTTGACTCCACGGCACGTGTGGTGCCCAGGCCTGGCAGCAGCCCTCTGGCCCCGTCGGTGCAACTGCTGCTAACGTTATAACGCCCAGCGCAAGCTCTGGGGCAGGCGTGACAGCCCAGCTCCTCCCTTGGCTGAAAACAACGCGTCTTTTTACCCATTAACCCTTCAAGGCCAGCAAAGCACCGTGAGTAGGTTATTAAGCAATCGTAATTAGTTTGCTCGTGCCAAGGTGCTGAAGTCCGTTCGGCGTGGGCCTGCTGTGCGCTGCGTCGCTGGGCAGGGAGGCCTCCCCAAGCTGGGGCCTCCGAGCTGGCAGGGAGGGAATCCCTCCCACCAGAAAAGCTG